ATCAGGAGTGGGAGCAGTAGTAGGATCAGGAGTGGGAATGGGATCAGGATCGGGAGTGGAATTGTGAGTAGGATCTGGAGCAGGAGTAGTAGTGGGAGTGGGAGTAGGATCAGGAGTGGGATCGGGATCGGGAGTGTGAGTAGGGTCAGGAGCAGTAGTGGGAGTGTTCCTGGCCCTGGGATGAGGGCAGCTGGGAGCCCTCGAACAAAGCTTGTGGCCTGGAGTGTGTCTCAGGTATAAAATGACCATGGTGTAAGGAACCAAACCTTTGGTGCAGAATTACAGCCCACGAGCAGTGTGTTTCTGCTGCTCTGGAGGACACAGAATTACTGAATCAATCCGGTTGGAAAAGATCTCGGAGATCATCGAGTCCAACCCGTGACCTAACACTACCATGTGAACTATACCATGGCGTTAAGTGTCATGTCCAGTGTCTCCTAAACACCTCTAGGGATGGTGACTCCACCACCTCCATAGGCAGCACATTCCGGTGTCTAATCAGCCTTTCTGGGAAGAAATTCTTCCTAATGTCTAACCTAAACCTTTCCTGGCACAGCTTCAGACATGCTCAGGCTGAGCCCTTGCTGTGCAGGCTATACAGTTATCCATCTTCTGGATCACTGCCCTGTGCTGGAGGAGCAGGAGGAGCCTCTGGGCTGTATTTTGACCTGTGCTGTTGATGTGTACAGCAACTTTCTGCTCTCTTGAGTGTCATTGTAAAGCAAGTGTGACTTTAATGATATGCAAGAGATGTTTTAACCTGCAGGTTCAGTAACAAGTGCCATTGTGCAGGTGTTGGGATGTAAAAATGGGAGACAAAAGCCAAAGTGTGATTATTTTAGTTGGGACAGTTAAATAACATTGTAGAATTTAAACTAAAACCTGTGTGAGAACATGAATCTCTCAACAGCACCAGAGATACATCTAGCTTTGGAAGAAAATGACGTGCAGTTGACCTCCTGTTTTCTAGCAGTAAGTTAAATATTGTTGATTGAATGTTTTTTATATGCATTCAGACAGGTAAGGTAATATTAGCTTTAAAAGGGAGAACCAGTGTGAGTTAAAGCAGAGTTTGAGTGGCTTTAGTCCACTGAAAATTTATAGGTCTGAGCATAAAGCCACAGCTTAATTTATGAGTCTGAGCACAAAGCCACAGCTAAAACTTCTTTTATTATGTTTGCACAAAATCCTAGTGTATACTCAACTAGAATATGAGTAAGTAAGGGACAACGGAAACTAAATGTACCTTTATTAAAAAAACCTAACAAAATTCCTGATTTTTCTTTTTATTCTGTGTAGTTCTTGAGTTTGAACATGTTTATCTTGAAAACCTGCCATCTGCCTCGATGTATGAACGCAGCTACATGCACAGAGATGTCATTACACATGTAGCATGCACTAAGTAAGTACCTTTTTCCATGGTCTCTCGTTGTCAGAGATGTATTTTTTTGTATATGCTCAGAAGTTTTCTTTGTAGAAGTTTAGTAATCAGAATTTTAGGGGTTGGAATGGACCTTATAGATCATCTAGTCCCAACCCCCTGCCCTGGGCAGGGACACCTCCCACCAGAGCAGGTTGCTCAAGGCTTCATCCAACCTGGCCAGGGTTGGGGCAGCCACAGCCTCCCTGGGCAACCTGTGTTGGTGTGAGAAAGTTGTCGTGTTCTGAGGTGGTATTTTAAGGGTTTTGTTTTTGAATACTAAGTGCAAAGGAAAGGCTTCCTTAGAAGTAAGATAAAAATTGTTTATAGAGACTAAAAGAGGGTCTTAAAATCCTTATAGAAATGTGCAGTATATACAGGAATAAGATCAGGTGAACTGCCTCTGAGTGAGACGTGATTCAGCAGAACTTCATAGATCACCCAGAGATAAATATTAACTACTGTGAAACCAGACCTAAAATAGGAGTTATGTTTGCTTAAAAAGGATACTGTTATTTCTTTCTTCAATTCAGGCTGTTGAGTCTTCAGAGATTAATCCATAATGCACTAAAATGCCTGTTTGCTTTCCTAGAAGTGACAGTACCACTCAGTCAGGTTCTCACAGTAATTTCTTGAAAGCTCGTTCTCTACACAGTGTTAATTACTGACCAGTGTGAGAAAGTGCATAATGTGTGTATCTCTTCCATTGGTTCTGTTTTTGTTTTGTAAATGTAGGACAGATTTCATTATAACAGCCAGTCACGATGGACATGTGAAGTTCTGGAAAAAAATAGAAGAAGGGATTGAGTTTGTTAAACACTTCCGAAGTCACCTGGGTGAGAAGTCGCTTTTCCTTTTCTAAAGGGCTTGACTTTCCTTCACCCTTGCTCTTTGTTATTTGAAGGGGGAGTGCAAGTAAGGAGAGTTGTTCTGGGATTGGTTTAATGCAGCCGAGGGGTAAATGATATCTACCTAACTTCCTTCATTCCTCTGTCCTGTTGAGATTTGTTCCCAAACTGCAGGAGGAATGGGGTGAGAATAAATGTGGGTCTCTGCCTGCACAGATTCCCTGTGTCCTTGGCATTGCCTTGTGCCCTGCCTGTGGGGGGAATATCTGGGACATAAGTGAACAAGGTACATAACAGGGTCCGTAAAATTCAGAGAAGTTTAAAAATATATTACTTTAAATAAGGTACCTTCATCCCTTACCTTTTGTGTTGTTCTGGAAAATAGGGGGTTATTTTCATCTGGAATTACTGTAACTGTGGAGTCAATTCTGCAGCAATGTTATGATTATCAGCTGAATTGCAATTAAGAACAATTTTAACCTAATTTTCTGAGCTAATAAGTATGAGCTCTTGTACACTGTGTAAGCATTAAACAGGCTGGATGGAAATGAGGTTCTCTGGTATTAGAAATTGTGCCTGAAGGAACAAAACTGTTTATTATGCAGAGTGTTACAGTAAGGAAAATATAGTAGTTAGTAGAAGTGCTGTTTCCTTTCAGACTTACAAGAAATGTTATGGTAGGTTCTTGGTCTCTGCTATCAGCTTCTCATTATATACAGAAGCAAAAACTACAAAGAAAAATAAATACTGTGAGAAATTTTTGGAAGGCTCATTTGCAGAGTGATTCTGAGTCTTGTGTGTGCTAGTAGCAGGACTGTGATGGTCTGGGGAGTTCTGCTTTTACTCTTAAGAGATGCAAGCTGAAGAGTATGCAAAGTTCACCACATCATAATGTTCTCAGTTCTCCAAATCCAACATTTTAAATTAAAATAATTGCCATTATAATATCTTATTTATGTATATGCTAAGTAGTTCATTGTCACATACCTGAGTCTAAACACTGATAGGATACAAAGTGTAGTTTTGTGGTGTTTTCAGAATATTTTTACTAAAGTCATGCAGTTTTTTAAAGTAAAAATGGTGTCAAAACAGCTGCAAAACAGATTGAAACCTCTGTAGGTTTTTTTTCATGTGTAATACTGAAATGAAAGGTGTCCTTTTCCATTTGTTAATAACATGTTAACTGTGTTAACAGGTGTTATTGAGAGTATTGCTGTTAGTTCAGAGGGAGCTTTATTCTGTTCAGTTGGAGATGACAAAGCAATGAAGGTGTTTGATGTAGTCAACTTTGACATGATCAACATGCTGAAACTTGGGTAAGTTACTTAGTTCTTGGAAATGTTTGTTTGGGATTATAAATGGGGTTATTTTGCTAAGAGGTAAGTCATTAATTTGGGAGTTTTAAGGGTTTTTTTCCCCCCCAGTCAGATGAAGCTGAGTAAATTGTATTGTCTGAAATGAATCCAGTGGCTGGAGACAGCCTGACTGAATAGAAAAGACTGTGACTGTCTGGAGCAGTACATGAGAGGAATAGGACGGGCACTTTCCCCAGTCTCAGATATTATGGACAAAGATGTGGTATATTGCAAAAGTTTTAGCTAATTTGTTTCTGTTATTTGGCACTGAATTTCAGAGTTATAGTTCATTGATATTTCCATTAGAGAAAGGATTTGGCCTGTATGTATTGTCTTACTTGTTGTCATAGGGATACAAATTTCAGTCTGCTATGAACAATGTAATTGTTTTCCTGAGTCTTGCTCTTGTAGCATTATCTGTAGTTACACAGGATGTAGCTAAAGGATCTGGGAGAAATAGGAATGGATGTTACTGGAATTGTAACACTACCAGAGGAAAACAAGCCCTACACTGTTACAAGGGTGGGTTCGGAGCATTGGAGGATCAATGAGTGCTGCACCAAGAATGGTAGAAATAGTGGAAGAGTTGCAGTTGTCTTCATTTCTACTGAAGCATTAATCACTTGTTAAAGGAAGAGAAACACTACTGAGTTAGAGATGTTGAGTAGTAATCATTAATACCCATGTGCTATTTATCTGCTTTTCATCCTTATTCTTTTGCACCTGCTTTTTACTTCTGCTGTCACAGCCTCTTCATAAAGCAGTATGGAAGCAATAGGAATTGGCTGAGCCGTCCACTTGGAAAAGCTTGGCTGTCCCATGTTGAACTTTAGCAAGACAGATATTAGCAGGACTAGTTCAAATATTCAGATGAGATGTTAGGACAAATTTTTTTCCCTGTGAGGGTGTTCAGGCATTGGAATATTGCCCGGGGAAATGGTGGGGTCACCATGCCTGGAAGTGTTTAAGAGGCATATGTATCTGGTATTGGAGGATAGGGTTTAGGGTTTAGGGGTTGCAGCGGTGACAGGTTAGTGGTTGGACTCAGTGGTCTTCAAGGTCTCCTCCAACCTTGATGGTTCTATGATTCTATGACCCTACTACTAGTAAATAGGGTTTAAAATTTGCTCCTGATATTTGACTTCACGTTTACAGCATAGCTAAGTAACACCATTCCTTTATTTTTTCCTATTTATTTTCTCCTCCACTCTTTGTTGCAGGTACCACCCTGGTCAGTGTGAGTGGGTGTATTGCCCCGGCGATGCCATATCTTCTGTTGCAACATCTGAGAAGAGTACAGGGAAAATATTCATCTATGATGGACGAGGAAATAACCAGCCACTCCATGTTTTTGATAAACTCCACACATCCTCCCTCACCCAGATAAAGCTGAACCCTGTCTTCAAAGTGGTGGTGTCCTCTGACAAGTCGGGAATGATGGAGTACTGGACTGGTACTCCTCACGAATATAAATTTCCCAAGAATGTGAACTGGGAGTATAAGACAGATACTGATCTCTATGAATTTGCTAAATGCAAGGCTTACCCATCCAGCATAAGCTTTTCACCTGATGGCAAGAAAATGGCCACTCTTGGCTCTGACAGAAAAGTCAGGATTTTCCGGTTCTTGACGGGGAAGCTCATGAGAGTCTTTGATGAATCTCTGAGTGTGAGTTTTGTCTTGTTTCTCTTGCTTTGAGATACTTTCTTGCTTGTTCTTTGCTACTTTCTCTTGCTTTCTGCTTACTTGGATGTGTTTGCTGGCACATTTACATACGTTATTATTTGTTCATAAAGCTGATCTTCCTTCCTATATTTTTCTTGCAGTAAAAGTCTTCCATGTTGTCGTCATTGCCTCTTACATTGCTTTGCCCCAAAAAGAATTCTTACTGATTTATTTAATTTAATTATTATTTAATTACACAGTGAAACAAAGATGTTGATTTTCATCTGTGTTTTCATACTGCTAGGTTGCATCTTACTAGGAGGCAGTTATGGAAAATGCCCTATTTCAAGTAACATCTTCATAGTGAATTAAATTTGTCACCTTCTAAGAAATTTGTTAGACAGCTGACCACTTTGCTTTGCTTAAGCCTAGTCCTACACATGCCTATTGCATCATTAAAGTAAAGGGAGTATTACTTGTATTCATTTAAACTCTCCAGTTCAGTTTGAGTGGAGTAGTTTCACATGAATTCTGTGTTTTGTCATCATGTGGATCAGTATTGCTGGATAAAAAGTGTAAAATGCATTTTTTTCTTTTTTCTCTGTAGATGTTTACTGAACTTCAGCAGATGAGGCAGCAACTGCCAGACATGGAGTTTGGCCGACGCATGGCAGTGGAGCGTGAGCTGGAGAAAGTGGATGCAGTAAGATTAATCAATATCATTTTTGATGAAACTGGACACTTCGTTCTCTATGGAACAATGTTGGGCATTAAGGTCATAAATGTAGAGACTAACAGGTGAGTCCCAGTGACACACACTGACAGTATATTTCTGTTTCAGTGTCTGTATTCAGTCAAATTTAAGTTTAAAACTTGATGCGAAACTGTTGGATGCGAGAAAAATTTTTTCCCTGTGAGGGTGGTGAGACACTGGCACAGGTTGCCCAGGGAGGCTGTGGCTGCCCCAACCCTGGCAGTGTTCAAAGCCAGGCTGGATGAGGCCTTGAGCAACCTGATCTAGTGAGGAGGTGTCCCTGCTCATGGCAGAGGGTTGGGACTGGATGATCTGTAAGGTCCATTCCAGCCTCTCAGCATTCTATGATTCTATGACTCAGTTAATCAGAGATTAGTTGATTACACATTTTCAATACACATGTGCTTGCCACGTTTTCTCCTCATTTTACTGAGATTTAATCTGCAGCAACTCCTTGCAGAGCATGGGATTATTTTATCTACAGTCTAGTGTAAGGCTCCCAAATAACAGTAAAAATTGAGATGTCTACAGTCATAGAATCATAGAAGTGCAGAATTGCAGGGACATCTCCTACCAGACCAGATTGCTCAAGGTTTTATCCAACCTGGCTTTGAACGCTATGGGATGGGATAATGTAGTGTAATTGTGGATATTAAGTTGGGAGTTTAGTTTAGGAGGCTGAATAGTAAATTAGGTAGCAAGTTTGCACAGAAAAACATCATAGAAACGATTAGTGAATAATTATTTTGATGGGATTTTGGAATTTTTCTCTGAGTCTTGCACTCAGAAAGGAGACATTCTGTGGCTGTGGGCAGCTGACAGTGGTTAACTTCTCTTTGCATCTTGTGCTTCAGGTGTAGTCGTATCTTGGGAAAACAGGAGAACATCAGAATGATGCAGCTGGCTTTGTTCCAAGGAGTGGCAAAGAAACACCGTGCTGCCATCACTATAGAGATGAAAGCATCTGAAAATCCTGTTCTCCAGAATATCCAGGCGGATCCCACAGTAATCTGCACGGCTTTTAAAAAAAACAGGTTTTACATGGTGCGTGTGGTTTCTCTTTGAACAGCTCCATTCTTGTGCTGATGTTTTCTCTGCATTATTTTTTGTTTTTCTCCTTGCACCCTTCTAGTGCTTTTTTTGTCTTGAGTATTTGCAAACACACCTTTTCCGAGGAGTCCCTTTACATTGCAAGTATATTCTGTAATTTTTGGCTTGAACTGTCTATACATTAACTAGAAACAGCTGTAATTTTATCACTATTGCTCAAGCAGTTAAATAAACAGGGCTGGTTTGGCTGTCTAAATTTTTATTCCCCAAGAAGATTATATCCTCTTGTTCTAGTTGAAAGAAAAAAAATTAAATAAGAATACTTAACCAGATCTTATAAAGAAACAGTGGTTAACTGTGTGTATAAACAGCATTGTAGAAAAGAACTTCAGAGCAGCATCAGGACTCGGTAGGACTAAGGACATTATAGGCAACCAAGAAAGACGAGTCATCTTGCTGTTCACAGTTTTTCAGGTGAGATGCAATGAATAAGCCAAACAGACAAGCAGTTCCAGAGGAGTTAGTAGTTGATCTGAGGGGTGACAGCCATAGAGGTTAGGGATTGACTAGTCTGTCCATCTTGAGTTAAATTTGCTGGTTTCCTTTAGTTTTGTATTAATGCAGTATTGGAATGAGAGGATTTAGTCTGACTTTGTGGTGCATCTGAAAACTTTTGGCATGAAACCTGCCAGTTTTGCCTGAGTGTAACAAAACAACTTGATATTTTCCACCACTTCTTAAAGAAAAGGGACTGAACTATCACGGACTTCCTGTTGAAAAGGGGAGGAAGCGTAAGGATAACAGATTATAAAATGTTACTTGGATTGTATGTGGTTGTACTGGACTTCGTGACTGTGGAAACTCTGGTAACACACAACATTGAGATGCAGGGATATACTGTCTGTAGATTCTCCCCCTACATTTCAAATCCAGCTGGGTGTTTAGCAGGTTGAATAATGACATTGATGTCTTGGGTGCAGAGCAGTGTGTAAGTTAAGGGGGAAAAAGAGAAAACCAAACATTTAACCTTCTGTTCTTCTGATCTTCAGTTTACTAAACGTGAACCAGAGGATACCAAGAGTGCAGATTCTGACAGAGATGTGTTCAATGAGAAACCTTCTAAAGAAAAACCCTTCAAAAGAAGAGGTCATGCCAGCCACTCAGGCAGAAGGCCCCAAAAGAGTCTCAGACAGTGCCATCATCCATACAAGCATGGGAGATATTCACATCAAGCTTTTTCCTGTCGAGTATGTATTTGGTAGCTTTTCTGTTGATTTGGTTTTGTTTCTTGTCTGCTTTGTAGCGTCAGTATCCAAGACTTCTAATTCAAGCTAGGAATAATTCTTTTCTTTCCCTTTGCTCCTGTCTTATTTGCTGACAGATTCTTAATACATCAGGCTAGGTATGTGACTCTTGGCAAACACAAGTAGGGTAAAAATAGGACTAAATAACAGCTTGAAGCACAGGAGTGCTCAAACCAGGCATAGGAGTACAGAACTAAAAAATAGTTTCATGCATGACAGTTGCTAAAGTTGGTATGTCAGCATCTCTCCTTTGTGATGCAAAAATTGCAGGTGTTCTGTTATTTAACAGTACATTTATATAGAACACCACATTGATTCTCCAGAAACAAGTTCATGTGTTGTCAAAAGCACAGGTAATGCAACACCACCTCAGTTCTACCCTATAGACTGTTACTGCTCTTCACCAGGGTCTCCTTGCATCAGGCCCTGATTCTGGAATTTGTAACTGTAGCATATAGGTTGCAGTACTGGTGCAGCCCTTGCTGGAGAGTAACAGGCCAAGACACAACATTTCTGACTTTCTTCTTTAATTCTCATGCCAGTGTGTCACTGCATTTGCATGCACAGAGGTGCAAGGATCTTCATTGCAATGCTTTGTATGCAATTGTAAATTAAATACAGTATTATCTGGGTTGGCTGTTGTTAGGTTTGTCCTTTCCTGTTCTGGTATTTTACCCCAGCTGAGCTTTGAGTTGAAAACCTCTTCAGTGTAATTAAAACTTTAAAGAGCATATAAAACATGGCTTTGTATGTCCATGAAGTCTTGGGCCATTTGCTTGTGAAATAAAGTTGTGAATGACTATGTACTGTTCAGCCAGAACTGGGACTATAATCTTCTCTCTTCCATTAGTTATGCCAGTGGTGCTCTTTTTCACAAGGTGGTTTAGAGTGTCACTAAACCCAAGCTAATTCTCCTTGTCACAGCTACAGTAACTCTATAGCTGTGGACTCAACTTGGCTGTTTTCTCATTACTGGGAGAATATGTGACTGTAAACCTGTCAGTGTAGATCTACCCTGGCTACTGATCCATTTTGTAATAATAGTGGAAGAGCCATCACAGAATTTTTACTCTGGTAGCAACTCTCAGAAGTGAAAAGTCACAAAGGTGAAGGGATTGTCCCTTTTTGTTCCATCAGCAGTAAAATTCTGTCTCTTCATTGAACAACACTGGCAAGTAGTTTCAGAGGAGGATAACTGACTCTGCTGACTGCAAGTTTCATAGTACTAAAACACTAAATTTTTGCATTTTTACTTCTTGTATGCAGCACTGGACACCTTGTATGTGTACATTAAAAGAGTTGTAGAGGTGCATCCCCAGCCTCCTTGCTGGTGGGGTGGGCTGAGGAGCAGAAAAGGCTTTGACACTAAGTACTACTCAGCAATAGCTAAAACATCCCTGAGCTATCAAATACTGTGGCTGCCTGCCTGTGTGCAGCTTTATACTCCTGGGGTTCTTTGCTGTCAGCTCTGGGTTTGAGGCAGTGGAGATTTGTTTTGTCCTTATTGGATGAAAGCCTTTCCTTCTGTGTGCTGAACAGCAGGGTCTTAGCCTCAGCTGAAATCTTTATGGACTTGTCACCATACAATTGAATATTTATTGTTGCCTTTGTTTTCTGTTATGTGGTTTTAGGTGCCCCAAGA